TGGCACTTAGTGAAGGGGTTTTATTCCCTCCCTAACTTCAGGGGAAAATCTCTACCTGGGGAAACAACCTTTCTCAGAGAGGTGACCTTGGTTAAAACACATAGTGCCAAGAAGGTGAGCAAATATATTAAGAACAGTATGCTATATATGCCAGGTCCCTTGAAACAGCAAGGATGGACCGGCTCCTGGCATAATACAGATTTTGCAAGGAGGTATTTAAAATAAAGGCAAGATGTTAGTCGGCCATAGAGCTGCCTCCTCTGCCTGGTCTCCCCTGCTCTCTGACAGCATCCCACTCGCCTCCCCACTCTGCTGCTGTCAGGGTTTAAGCGTCTGCCTCCCTCTTAGGGCAAGAGCTCTGCACGTAGGGCCACGTCTTACTCCTCAGCCTCCCTGTTTCAGGACATGGATGGAGCCCAGTGTGACACTGTTCGGTAAATGCTGGCATAGATCTACTGCAGTCACGGCGCACCATTTGCCTTGGCTGCACGGGGTGAGCAAAAGTAGGTTTACAGTGGTGAGGACTCGAAACACAGAGTTTATTCCTGTATTATTATTGTATTTTCCGTACGGAGAACTATAAGCCTACTTTTGCACACCCTCACATTTTCGGTTGAACATCCCAGGCCGGTGATGAATAAAGTATTTGAAGAACCTTTAAGAAGTCTCTGTTACATCTGACTGGGATTTATTTAGGATTCCTTTTCTATTAAGTTATTATTTTTGAAAATTGTGTAGGAATAGAACAGGAAGAAATGTTTGGAGGCAGTGAGCTTTGCAACCGTGCTTTAATCTGAAAGCTTTTATTCAATGACCAAGTGAATTGTTCTCTACAAAATAGAGTGTGTGTAGCCTAGCTGGCGTGGCTCAGTGGTTGAACATCGACCTATGAACCCGGGGTCACAACAGACCACAGCAAAAATCTTGGGTGACTGTAAAAGATTAAAAATGTGTCCAATGCGCTATCCATTGGCTCCGTCGCGCAATGGATAGCGCATTGGACTTCTAAAAATGTGTTTATCCAGTGTGGCTGGGGCCCTCTGCTCATTGCATTCGTGGAGGCAAGCGACAGGGTTGGAAACAGTTAAGAAGTCTTTCTAGCTTTTGTTTAAAAAATACATATATATTTTAAATAAGCAATGAGTTTTATGCCATCAGATTATGTGTCTTGAAGACATTTGGAGGGAAAGAAAGTTCCCCAGGTCAACTCCCCATCCTCCCCCCAACCCCCCACAAACAAACACACAAAACCCGGTGGGAGAAGAAAGATTTGAAGAAGGAGACATCTGGGGATGCTAAGAGTAGAACCAGTGTGAGCCCTCCTTCCTGGTGTGTCCCTGGGGGTGGAGCCCTCAGACTGATAGAAGTTGGAGCTTCCAGGCAGTCGAGACCATCTCGCAAAAGATGCCCAAGCCCTGAGCCTGCAGAGAGCCTGGCAGACCCTGAAGATGGACACTGGGCGACCTGGTGTCCACCCCGTCTGCCTTGGCTCTGCATGCAGAAGCGAGGAGAACCCCGAAGGCTGCCCGGATGGGCGCGTGGGGTCAGGAACTAGGATGGTCAGAGAGAAACACACTTCTGTTTCTTGAACCTCCAAGATAGAAGAGATGCCCCGTTAACAAGCAAGGATGGGAACCAGTTCCTGCTGGGGCCGGGGGACAGATCAGCTAGGTAACGATGGTGTGTTTTAAGTATCATCATGGGTGCTGGTTTTTTCTTCTGCTTTTCTATCTGGACAAAAACCTTGCAGTTCTTGTTCTGTGGCAGAATTGCCATTCAGGTTCCTGTGGGCAGTTTTGTGTGTTTTTGATGGCTCTAGCATGTTTCTGTCTGCTAGGACTTTCTTCCCTTTGGGAAATTGTGGGGGAACAAACCTTTTTACCCCCCTCCCCCCCAGTTAGCTTGGTGCTGTTGATGGTGGGGGTAGCTTGGTCATCGTGAGACCCGAGGCGGGTCTGGTGGGCCGCACTTCCTCAGACTTCGCTCTCAGACGCTAGCGTGGCTGGTGGGTTGAGGGTAGGGTCTGCGGAGACCACTCACTGTCTCCATGTCCAGAAGCAAGTGGCTGGACTCAGCCAGGCCCCACGGCGCCACCAGCACCGAGCCCGTCTTCCAGCGCCGGAAGCACACTCGCTGGCGAAGGAAGTGCCTTGGCACTGCCGCCCTTGGCGTCCCAGAGTTTGCTTTCTGGGGCCCAACTTCTCACAGAGCGGTTGGAACATGGAGAAGAGGGAAAACAAAAACAAACCCAACCCTGGCTGCAGCCCGTCTGGCTTCTGCTTCCCAGTTCTCCCAGAACAGACTCCCACCCAAATAACCGAGGATGCTGGAGCTGAAGGACTGTGTGTGTGTATGCGTGCGAGAGAGAGAGAGAGAGAGAGAGAGAGAGAGAGAACACGAACATGTGTGTGAGTGTGGCAGGGCAGGCCAGGGAGAAGAAGTTGGAGGGTGTAACAGGAAGGCAAGCGGCAGGGCTGGCTCCTGCTTTGTTGACTTAGTGAGTCTGGCTGCAAAGCCAAGGCCTTTGGAAAGAATGGCCTCCCTGCTTCCGGCAGTTTCCACCGAGCTGTTGGGGGACTGAGGGATTTAGGGAGATTCTGCAGGTGTTTGTGGACAGGAGGGCAGTTCAGTGGGGTGCCAGGGCACCAGGGTTTGGAGAACTCTAGCAGGATTTGTGCTCGATGATGTCCTGGGAGGTAAAACACAACCGTGGTTTCAGAAGGTGGTA